AATTGTTCTAACTGTCAGGAAATTTTTCCTCAGTTCTAAGTTGCTTCTCTCCTTGATTAGTTTCCACCCATTGCATGCATATAATTATATATAAAATGAAATCCTCCTAAAATAACTGGTATTACTAGCATTGACCATTTATCTGCATGTATATTTTGGAGAAACTCCCAACGAATATTGTAAGGCTTATCCACAAATAAACAGATAATATTTCAATTGTCAAGAGAATAGTTACCTCCATTGAGTAAGGCATCTTCAGCTGCCCCCCCTGGAGAGTCTGGGGGGAGGAGGGGCTGAAAGGTCTCATCGTGGGTGTTTTCATAATCAGGAAGATCGAACAAATTGTTTTCAACAGGATCTATCATGTTGCCTCAAGAACGCTTAAAACCTGAAGATATCAATAAAAAGAGGAAGAGGAAATATAAAGCTGAAGAGCAGAATTCTGAAATCTTTGCAGAACTAAATGACATCTCAAAATTCAGCGATACCCAATTCCTACAACTGTTCTTCCTGCTTTAGCCTTCAGTCCCCTAATCATTTTTATTGCATTTTTCTGCACTTGGTAGTCTCACCATCTTTTTTTATATTGTGGCGACAAAAATGGGATGCAGTGTTCCAAGGGTGGTCTTAGCAAGGCCTTATTGCTAAATGTTAACCCTTCACGTGATCTTGATTATATGTCTATGTTTATACAAACAAGAATTGTATTAACTTTTTTGGCGGCGACTGCACACAGCTGGCTCATGTTTAAGCAATTGTCCACTAGGACTCCAAGATCTTTCTCTCAGTGCTGTTTAGCCAGGTACTTACCTGTTCTATTTTTCTTCTTGTGCCATATCTATCATCAGACATTGGCGATCATGTTGGCAATCCTATTTTTGTCAACATCTGCATGAAAAAGTGCTGCTGAGTTTTGTCCAACCACTCCCTTAGGTTTTGAAGCCTGATGTTCTTCTTCTGCCTGGACCTTCTTTGCCTTCAATCTTTAATGGCTTTGATGATTTCCCTTCGCTTTTCCAGGCAGCTTGTCACCTCCTCGTTTCTGATTGTCAACCCAGCTGGGTTTTTTTGTCAACCTGTTCTATACTTGTGTGATATGCATAATATGTGCATGCACACACACATGTACTCACACATATCTACGATCACTCAGCCTAAGCTACGGGCCTAAGCTTAAGACAGGAAATGGCGAGTTGTAGCCTGGCCTTAGACATGAAATCCAGCTGGGGGACTTTGGGCCTGGAATGGAACAACTTGCCACAGCAACTCGCTGCAGGAAAAATTTAACATCTCTATTTAATCATTTATTTTTATTTAATCATTTAATTAAAATTTAAATATTTGCCATTCCCATTTCATTTTGTCGCCTCCTTTCACACCCTTTAATGATTCTATTCCACCATTTATTCGATGTTGTTAATGTCCGGCAGCGAGTTGTCCTGGGGTGAATCATCACAGATCCCCTTTGGGCCGGGGCCTCCCTCTCAGCCCAGCCCACCTTGTGGGTTTGTTGCCAGAAGGAATAGAATAGAAATAGAATAACAGAGTTGGAAGGGACCTTGGAGGTCTTCGAGTCCAACCCCCTGCTCAGGCAGGAAACCCTACACCACTTCAGACAAATGGTTATCCAACATCTTCTTTAAAACTTCCATTGTTGAAGCATTCACAACTTCTGGAGGCAAGTTGTTTCACTGATTAATTGTTCTAACTGTGAGGAAATTTCTCCTTAGTTCTTTTTTTAAAAACTTTTTCCCCCATAACCACTCTTATCAGTAATCTTACAGTGTGTCATCCGGGTACCATCTTTGTGTCATCATATTAAACAGTTACATCATTTTAATTATTTTTATCTTCCATGTACCTTTACATTTCAGTTGCCTTTTAATTCAACTCCTCCCCTATAATTCTGCATTCTTTTCCAAATTATTCAATTTTCTGTTTCTTTTTGTCTATATTCGTTTTCTATCCACTGATAAAAACATCCCCATATAATACTCTGGTTCTTCCTTCTCTTTAATTGCCAATGTTAATCTGTTCATTTCTGCAGTCTAATATTCTTTTTAATTACCTCACCCTCTGAGGGAATTTTTTTCCATTTTCCAATTTTGTGCAAATACAATTCTAGCTGTAACTATTACGTGAATAATTAAATATACACTTTTTTTACCATATTTCTCTGGTAAAATACCCAACAAAAACAGTTCCAGCTTTAAATCAATATGCTGCTGTATCATCCTTTCCCACACATGCAAATTTTTGCCCAATGTTTTTTTGCCTCTGCACATGTGCCCCACATATATATGGGCCTGGTGTCTAGGAAATTTCTCCTTAGTTCTTTAAGTTGCTTCTCTCCTTGATTCGTTTCCACCCATTGCTCCTTGTGTTGCCCTCAGGAAAGATGGGAGACAGTACTATGCCAGTGAAGGAAATGAATAAATAAAAATAAATTACTCTTTCATGTAAAAGTGTAAAATGTAACACGAAGGTATGAGACTCTTGGAGCTGTTTTTCCTGAATGTAAATTAAACACAAATGTAAGCAGTAAAGACACTACAGGATGACTTGCTAAAATTCCTTTGGTATTGAAATACAGTAAAGTCAAGTCTGAAGACAAGGACACTAGTTAGTGAGATTGGAACACAGATGAGTTAAAGGGGTCTGCAAGAAAAGTCAGGCCGACCTCTTGAAAGATGAATTAACTTCAAAGAATGACCTTGGAGGTGGGGAGGGCTTTTTCTCAGGCATTGGGCATAATGATTAGAAAAGTATAAATTGTACTGATGGGCTGGCTCCTAAAGCAAGATCACGGCACACACTGGAAAGTAAATCAGGAAGACTGTAATGGGGAAGGGGGTGTCTGTCTGTCTGTCTCACAAGAACAAAGAATGCTTATCAACAGGAAATATGCGTGTGTAAAGCTTGTTGCAATTATGGATAGCTGGAAAGCTGATAAAAAATAACAAGAATTAGACAATTTGCAGATCTCAGCTAAACGTTAGCAATGGAGGTGGCCTGCAGCAAATGGAATGCGCATTAGATAACTCCTGGGGCATTCATTAGCCAAGGATTAGCAATGGGACAGCAATAGACTATTAGAACAAATTGTAGAAATTGCTAAAATATTTATTAGAGGAAAGTCCTTATTATTTCACCTTGTCCCGCCTTCTCCTTTAATGAAAATGTGCAAAGCTCCCTTAATCCTTTGTTCTTTTGTTCTTGGCCTTTTGACCAGGAACCCTTTTCCTTGGAGTCCTCCCATAAAAAGCATTCAGAAAACCTGCACCTCGTGTCTGGCGTCCATCATCGGCTTCGGCACCAAACTCAGACCCGAATTGGAGACAACAGTATTGCTTGAAATCTGTGTTTTTGCGCTCCTTGTACTCAAGCCATTGGGTAACCTCTATTCCATTTCTTTGCAATAAACCTTTTGAATTTTGAACCAGACTCGTCTTTCGAATTGTGAGCGTAAGGATTGGGTTTTAATCTCTCACGTCAGGAAAGAATGTCGCCCTGGAGTTGGCTCTCCTGGTGGCCTCCCATCCACGGACTGACCGGGACAACCGGGGCTTCCCAAATGAACCTCCTGCGCCAGAGAGAGAAGCCTCCCAGCGCAGAGGATGTCCATCCAACCCGCACCCCAAATATCCCGCTGCCTCCCGAAAGGCTCCGCCATCCCGCTCCTTCATACCAAGAAAGTCGGCTTCGCCTTCGCCGGCTGCCCCGGACACAGTTGATCCCGCCTTCTGCGCTGCGCTTCCGCTTCCGGAGCGAAGGAAAAAACCCGCGGGAGCGCGGGAATCGCAGGCGGGCATCTCGCGTCCTCTCGCGTGAGGAGCCGCGGTACCATAAACTTAAAAATGTAGAGCGGTCAAAGGTGCTATCCCCCCCCCCTCAAGAAGCAACTGGAGTTTTTTTTTTTCTTTGAAGACGTTTCGCTTCTCACCCGGGAAGCTTCCTCCCCGCTCTTTCCAGTCAGAGCTGAGGAAGCTTCTTGGAAGAGAAGTGAAACGTCTTCAAAAGAAAAAGCAAAGTCCAGTTGTTTCCTGAAGAAAAAGTATCTTTGGGAAAACCATAACCTGGATGGCTGAGAATCTCCATAGCTGTAGAGAGAGGTCACGTTCTCTCTCCTACTCAAACACCTTTTAAAAAGCAGGTCTTCCAACTTGGCAACTTTAAGACTGATGGACTTCAACTCCCAGAATCCTCCAGTCAAAATAGTCCACCAGTCTTAAAGTTGCCAAGTTGGAAGGCCTGCGTTTTAAAAGGTTGACATTCTGCAAAGCGGGTGGGCAAAAAAAATAGAAAGAGGCTTGTTTAGATTGTGTCTAGGTCCTTTGGCCGGCATTAAAAAAATAGCTGCAATGGAAAGGAGGCCACGAGGAAATCCCCAGGTTATGGATAAAGTGGGGGAAAGCAACTTCAGTCCTGCTGTGAAAGCTCACCAGGAAACAAAGCAAACCCGGGTGCTGCAACCCAGGAAAAAACAATGCTGCCCTTCACTACTGCAGGGGCCTCCTTCATGGAGATGCCACCCTCAGATACAAACGCCTTCCCCCCATTCCAGATAGCTTGGGTGAAAAGGCAGCCCAGCCCAGCTGAGAGGTCCCATCAGGTGAGAGAAGTTCCGAATGAGGAAGAGGTCACCTCTATAAAAAAATCTCCTATCTCTGCCACGCTCATATTCCGGTGGGTGACGTTCCTCCTCTGCGCATGCGTATCCATTCCCGGCCTGCCCTGCCCTCGTATTTCTGGGCCGCTCTGCTGCCGCCGAGTGCGCATGCGCTGTTGTTGCCGCTGCAACTTTCATAGAACTTTAGGCAGTTCGTTCTGTGCGTTTATTTTCTGGTCGGGTTTGCTAGTGTAAGGTTTTTAAACCTAAATATTAATGTTTTTTAAAAATCTCTGTACGTTTTTCTAGTCTAATATTATGCTGTATGTATTAAATAGTATAGTCTTTATTGTCATTGTACAATATAAATACAACGAAATAGGTAAGAATAATTGAGTTTTAATATTGTGGTTTGTTTTTTTTTACTAGCTGGGTTTTCTTTGAGCATGAAATCTTGTTGCATTTTTAGGACGCTTCTCTGACGATTCTGCTGTTTTTCTGCTGCAGCGTCTACTGAGTTGCCTGTCCATTTGGACACGCCCAGTGACTCCCCCTGTTGGCTGGGGCATTTGAGAGTTATAGTTCTTTAGGCTTAAGACTTAGAATAACTTTATGGTCACTTTGAATGTAATTGGCATACATTAAAATGAAATCCCGTTGCATACAACTCTCAAAAGGGTCTCGACCTCCAATTGACACTACATAAGAGACCGCCTACTGCCAATTACCTCCACTAGACCGATACGATCGCATCGATTAGGCCTCCTCCGAATTCCATCATCCAGCCAGTCCA